CCTCCTCTTCCTCTTCCTCATCTTCCTCCTCCTGCAGCTCTGCGTCCGTCTCTCCCAGGAGGCCGAGGTTTGGCTCCCGTTCGGTTCCGGTTCTTCCTGTTTTTCCGGTTTTCCCGTCTCCGGGTTCTAACGCTCCGCCCGTGTCGGTTGGTCCCGCAGAACCCGCCGGCGCTCTGACAGCAGCTCCTCCTCTTCCTCCTCCTCCTCCTCTTCCTCCCCCCGCTGGGACTCCCGCTCCCCCCCCCGCCACCGGATGTCCTACTCCGGATACAGCCGGTCCCCGTCCAGATCCAGGTCCAGGTCCAGTGCCTGGTCTAGGTCCAGGTCCAGGTCCAGGTCCAGGTCCCGCTCCAGGTCCAGATCCTGGTCCAGGTCCAGGTCCTGGTCTAGGTCCAGGTCCAGGTCCTGGTCCCGCTCGCCGTCCCCGAGAATATGCCGCCAGCCGTGGAAAGAAGTGTGCAGGTCAGTCCCCCCGACGGCTCCAGATCCGGGGCGTCCAAATCCGGTCCGGAGACTGGCTTTCCGGTTTTCCTGGCGCTCCACACCAGCCAGATTAACTCATTGACTGCCAAAGACGTCTATAGACATCTTTTATGTTTTTCAACGAGAGTGGCTGGGGGACGATCTGCTAAAGCTTGTCCGTAAATATCAGGCTTCTAGACAGAGTATGTAGTAACAAATTGACCCTCTAGGGGGCAGTGCCACTTTTGATGGGAGATGAGCATAGACTGTAGGCAAATAAGAAAAAGGTAACGGTTCGCTATGAGAGAACATGTCGCCGGTGAGACGCAAGTCCAGGAAGAACGGAATAAGGTAGAAACAAAAAAATGTTCCTGATGATAGAAGAGAGTCTACTCTTTCTTTTGGTGTGTTCGGTGTTTACATAGTCATAGCACAAACTATTCTGTGGCTATTGAAAAATCAGTCAAAATGCTCAAAAAACTCTGGCAGTATGGGACTCTCTGTTCTGAAAATGGCTGGCAGTCAATGATTTAACAAGATCCCTCCAAAGGGCCCTGCTAAATGCTCCAGGTGTCTAAAGGTGTGGAGGTCGGGCAGCAGCCTTCCAGGACCGGATTTGGACGCCCCGGACGTCGATAAAATCCCATAAATCCCATAACGCTCATCTGTCCCTTTAAGAGGCTTAACTCTGGTTCTTCCCGCAGCAGCCGGGACTCCAGGAGGATCCGGAGGGAGCAGGAGATGAGGATCCAGAAGCTCAGAGCCATAGTGAGTAGGCTGGTCCTTATCCGATATCTGGATTCGATCGGCCGCCGATATTTGCAAAAAAATGCTTATCGGCCGGCAGGAGGAAATGCAGATCCAGACTCCAGATCCAGTTTTTTTTTTTAATCCGATCCCACACGAGCATTTGTATTAGCATCTGCTAACCCAGAGCTCTGTATCCTAACCATTAAGTTGTTATCAGAGTCACGATACAAAAATTCTCAACTCCATACTCAGGAAAATATTTGATTCCACAAAGATAAAAACAAAAACCCCAAAGTTTAACTGACTTTGGACAGGCTAGTGTCTTTGTTTTCAAACTGACCTGTTACAGATGTTATGGTGGCCGGTGGCCCGCTTTAATGTTGGCGTGTTATTATTAGCCATTAGCCGCAGCTAGCAACTCAAGGCTAACGTCACGTTAATGATCATAAACAACGTAAATAAATCAAAGAGAAGGGACGCACGCAGTGTCTTTTAAAAATGAGTATCGTATCTGGATGTAACATTTTAGTATCGATACTTTTGACAACCCTAGTCCTAGCCATTAAGTTGTTATCAGAGTAAATCCCTGTTCAACATGAGTCTGACAACTAAGTAAGTAGATAAGTAACTTTAAACTTTAACACATGCTCTTAATAAATGCAAAAACTGCTAGAAAACTCACATATTTGACCACTTTACACAACTTGAATTCCATCCAAAGGGATTAATAAAGTTTAGTCTAAACTAGGCT